AGATATATTTTCGAATCTTCCAGGCAGGACGAGTCTGCTGACCTGTGACCTTCAACTGACCACGTCCCGACCAATACTTGTGAAGTAGTACCCACTGCCGCTGTCAGTTCAGGAAACAGTTGAGCAAGAAATCGACGAGATGTTGGAGCTGGACGTGATTGAGAGATGTACCTCATCATACAACGCGCCAGTGGTAATGGTAAAGAAGAAAGACGGATCAAACAGGTTTTGCATTGACTACAGCAGGCTCAATGACGTGACCAAGCCCGATGCGGAACCAATACCACGGATCGACGTCACGTTTGCTAAGGCGGGACAGAAGCGCTTCTTCTCGAAGCTCGATGCAGCGAAAGGGTACTGGCAGATACCTATGAAAGAAGAGGCCAAGGAAAAGACTGCCTTCTCTTCGACGAGTGGGCTTTACCAATTCAAGGTCATGCCCTTTGGTTTAAGAACGGCTTCTGCGACATTCACGAAACTGATGCGAAAATTGTTAGACGGCATCTCAGATGCACACCACTACATCGACGACATCCTGATCGCCACAAGCTCGCCTGCGATAGGCTAATATTACCGTAAAGCCAAAGAAATGTGAAGTGGGCTTTAAGGAGATCAGCTTTCTGGGACACGAGATCGGAATGGGAACGATATCACCGGACCCTAACATCATTGAACGGATTCAAGACGTACCAAGACCGCGAACAAAGCGACAAGTAAGATCGTTCCTTGGACTCACGGGGTTCTACCACGAGCTCGTAGAGGACTCTGCGGGTCTTGCCGCGCCGTTAGTAGACCTCACCAGAAAAGGAGCCCGCAATGAGGTTGAGTGGGGGCCGGAGCAAGAGGAGGCCTTCAATGAACTAAAGACCAAGCTGGGACTTCTTCCCATCTTGTTGGCGCCAGACCCCGAGAAGGAGTTCGTGCTAAGGACAGACGCGTCTGACGCGAGTCTGGGTGCAGTGATGCTTCAAGAAAAGGATGGAATGCTACATCCCGTGGCGTACACGAGTAGAAAGCTCAGCACCGCAGAAAGGAACTAGGCAACGATAGAAAAGGAATGTCTGGCATTGGTATGGGCCGTTGCCAGATTTAGGTTGCTTCTGTACGGCAGAACTTTTCGAGTTCAGACCGACCACCAACCACTGGAATTCCTAAACAAAGCTAAGCATACAAATAGGCAAGTGATGAGGTGGAGTATGGCTATGCAAGATCATAGCTTTCACGTGGAATACATAAAGGGCAGGGATAACGTGGGAGCAGACTTTCTTAGCCGCATTTAGACGTTTATTTTTCTTTTAAACTACGGTTTTTTGTTAGGGATAACTAGTCGAGACCCTGAAGAGGATGGGTTCCCTCAATGTATATGTCTTTTTGTGTTGTATGTGTGCCAATGTGTTTTGTCAAACTTAAGACGGGGCCTTTGCATATGTGTGTGGCTACAGTAAGTTCTCACAAAAGAAATCCTCGATTTGAATGTGGATGAAGAAGGCCCTCCGACCAAGTGTGGTGCGGTGCAACCGGACGTCGTTTCAAGGTCATCGAGAAGGTCGTGTCGTGAAAGTGTCGTGTAGGAGGATTGTGGGGGTGGCTTGTGCTCGGTGACGTCAGGAGGGAGTCCTCGGAAGTACCAGGCATCAAGAAAGAAAAGTTTATCTTATAAACTTCTTGAAGTTGGGAGGTGTCATGGTTTTGTGAAAGTAAGAGCGTGAAGGACGAAGTCACGGGTGCGAAAGAGGTGCGTGAAGAGCACGAGCCGCGACGTTCGGCAGCCGCTTGAAGGATCTGACCGGCTGTGTCCCGGTATCGACGACCTGAACCAGAACCCACCGCTACGCACGGTGTGAAGGGAACAGCGGAAGCATGAGCATCTACGCCACCTCAACACCGTCCCTGGACTGAGTGGCTAGAGAAGCCAGGAACCGAGCTTCGTCACGACATATGCCGGTGAATCTCTAGGACGATAGATCCGTAGTTCGAACTGCTTATGTCTTTCTTGTGACTTTACTTGTAGTCTTATTACATTTTTTTCTTCCATACTGATATTTATTTTGTGTGTGCAAATATATGCCCTGTTTTTTTTCTAACTCTCTGTCTCCCGACCCTTTTCCTACCAACCCCGGACGAGCCTGTGACAATCGGGTAGACAACAGACCAAATAGCACTTATTCGCACCTTTATTCGAAGCTTTCCCGACGCCATACCAGGTCATGCATTCAGAAATGAAGAAAGAAAATTATTCTCCCTGAATTCAGTTAGCATAATTTACGAACATTACAATATCGTGACCTCACAGTTTATGTATTCTTCCTCTTCTTCCGGTTCAGAGCCTCACTGTAAAGTAGCCTTTTCTGATATGAGCAATCTACCAGAACAAGTAGTACATCATTTGGGATCAGTTAATCCTGGACCCTCAGTTTAATTGCAGAAGTGCAGGACATTACCCATGGCAACAATTATGGGCATCCTGCATGTTTGGAGAATCATTTATGTTATAGTAGCTGACCGGCTGAGAATCAAAGAGCGTGACGTCTTACGAGTATTTTATTGTTGCAGGCAGTGAGATGGCCGCCTTAGCCAATGGGAATGCCGAAAAAAAAATTTCGGAGCAAGACGCGTGAGCATAACAACAACGGCCTGGGTATGTTAATCCGTAAGTAACGACAAATATTGGGAAGAAAAATTGTTGCATTCAGAATGTAACCGGCTGCTGTATTGAAACAAGCTTGAGGGAACTGGCCGGGTATGAAAGCGCCTCTCCGCTCGGAGCACGTGGGCGAAATCTGGCGCCGCAGAGCCCATGAATATTGGGCTCAATCTCCACCCCTGCCAGTTTCGGTCTGGGTGAGCGTCAAACCGGCATAAGGCCATGCATCAGTATTGCGTGGTGCAAGGCAAGGTAAAGATGCTAGGCTAGCAGTTGTACTGTACTCAAGAAAGTTCTCATATGCGTAAACCAGTGTCGCCATACATCAAACAGAGACCGATCTTAGTCTCTCGATGTAAAAACGTCCGCACTATAAAAAAGCTCGTGCGTCTACCTTCCCGCACGACACTCGGAGAGCCAATCACTGCACCTTACGAAGGCAGCTCAGCAAATGACGATGCCGAAACGTAAGGTTAGATCAAAGAACGCAAACTGAGTTGTGACCTTAAGCAATCCAAGTAGGACGTTTTGCACTTCTTAACGTCAAAGATCAGGGTGTGTTTTTACGGTGAAGCTGTTATGCGCTTGGGTCTGGAAAAATACTCATCCATGAATGTTAACCAAAACCTCCCGTCTAAACGGCGCTGCTTCGTTACGATTGGTCGTGGCAAGTATAAACAAAAAGAGGTGGCAACCTGCGTGAGTCAGCCTTCCCTGGCATTATTTGATAGTGAGGTCCTGTCCCTTGTTATTATCTACGGCCACCGACTTATCTCAGCTAAAAGTCTGCTGTGACGGGACTCAGGGCAGAATGCGCCGATCTAACTTTTTTCTTTCGCTTCCGCGATGTTGTTAAAGAGACTTGGGCTCAAAAAAAATGTCCTAGAGGTGTTCCTTGAAAGATCGAGTCAACCCAGTCGTGTACAGTACGTGCGTTTATTTATTTATTTGCAGAAACAACCTGCAGCGCTGAAGCATTATAGCAGGGAAACACAAAATAAAACACATACTCACGAACACTAATGCAATGGCAAAAATACAATAACTGCTGATAAATGAAGGAACACACACACTCTCTTGGATAACAAAAATTTTAGTATATTAAAAAATATATCTTACGTCATATGTAGTAAATTTGAGGCAGGCAATGAATTCCAGTCCGTTATTGTACGAGGGAAAAATTAGTATTTTTTATAATCAATTCGTCAAAATATTTCCTTAATCTTGCTAGAATTATCTATTCTGGTTGAAATATAGTTTGGTAATTCAAGATATTTATACTTATCAATTCTAGTTAAGTTTATAAATATAGAAAAGAAAAACTTTAGTCAAAATTTCTTTCTCTTTCGATGCCATAGTTCCCAACCAATCTCACGTTTAATTTCTGTCACACTGGACGTTCATTGCAATCATATGTAAATCGTATAGATGTCTTATATTGTCGTAAAACCAGAACCAGTTACGGTACACAATCATTAACCTGGCGAATCCCGAACCTCCTGAACCTTTACCTTGCCTTAGTCTAAACGATTGACAACAGCTTCTCGTTCTTCAGAAAAGCAGCAAGAATGTATTTCCTTCACCCGCTGTAATCTTGTTGTTCTTCTGCCCTTATCATCCATATAGATGTATATTTTAATTATGTTGCTGTTATACAATTTTTTTTGTAATTCTATGACCTCGTAGGTAGTATATATATATTTTTTTTTACTTTTCTTTCTTTCTGTTGTTTTTAGTGTATGTTTGCCTGCTGCCTGTGCTGTGAGTGTAGTCTGGTACTAGGGCCTAGTCAGGCGGCTTTATTGTCGCCTTTTTGAACCAGCCCCATGGCAGTCTTTGTGTAGTCAAAAAGTCCATATAAATAAAGAAAATAAAAGTTGCCGTTAAGTTTTCATAAATATAACAGCTTCCCTGGTGCTCCATCTTCACGTGAAGTGGATGGGCTGTACAATTTTTATTAGTAAAGGTATGTTTCGGGGATTATTATATAAGGCAGGCGAGCTGGTTAAATTTAACCATGTCTAAGCCCATATGTTTTATATGTTTCGGCATCGTCATTCGCTGAGCTACCTTCGTACGTTGCGGCGATTCGCTCTTTGAGTGTTGTGCTGAAAAGTAGACACGCTGGCTTTGTTTGAGTGTAATTTGCTTTTTGGCGAACAAGTACACGGCCTGTCCATTCTCTAAGTTCGTACCACGGTATATTTTAACGCGGTTCATACCATGGGGTTCCGCATACCACGGTTCATACTACAAGGATCGGCTTTAAAGAGCGAGAAGATTCTTCCTGTAAATACGGAAAAGACCCACAAAGCCGGAATAAATCGGCTCCAGTACTTGATCAGTTCAAAGTTACCTGCCGTCAACGCAGCGTACCTCCCGCTTAGTCGCGTCATAAAAAGTGGCGAAGCAGTCTCTCCCGACTCCACATGACATGGTCTGAACCATCTGGAGGGTCGCTGCCATGGCTACGGCAGCATCTGCGGCGTTACCTCCTCGTCTCAGCGTGTCTGAATAACAAAGGGCGATCTATCAGGAATAAGCTCAGCTCGCAATAGTTAGCTGTAGTTTGACATTAAGGTCATCTTATGATTCATCTTTTAGGCACCAGCAAGAAGAGCAACAGAATTAATTTTTAAAGTCAGTATCTTGTGTCTGGAACGAATACAGAGATACCTTGTTGCAAAGACGAACAAAAAAACCTTCCGGGAACATCACTGTTGCCACCAACATTTTCTTTAGAAATTTACCTTCTTATCAGCCAAGACTTCGAAGAGGACCCGCAGAGCTAAGTCACTGAAGGGCGTTTACAGACTTGCGCTCACTTATATAGGACCGAGTTCTTGCAATATCTTACGACTAAATAACACACTGGCGCGCCGGCGTCACCTATGCTGTTACAACGAAAAGGCATTTCCCTAAAACTAAGATCTTGCGACATTTACAAGGTCAAATGCGTGTACTATTTATGGAAAAAGATCCGTTGTAACATTTAAAAAAGTATTTTTAGCAAAATAAAGAAAATTACAGCAAAATAAAAAAGAAAAATACGAAAACTGCAAGTGTTCCATGACTTCCCGATATCCAGGGTCTGTCGAAAAAGTATCGGGACTACATTAGTAAAAACAAAGTACTGCGCATATCGTAACATGAGCTAAAATTCCTCAAAATAACATCCTTCTGCGTCAAGACGACACTGCCAGGGCTTCTTCCGCGCATGGTAGGCCCCCTGGAAGTGTGAAAACGGAATCTGCTTCAGGCAGTGCGTCGAAGCCGCTTGTACTCTTTCCGCCATCCCATAAAGTTGTCCTTTCGGGCGTTGCTTTATCCCAGGGAAGAGAAAGAAGTCGGGAGGGGTGCATATCGTTAGAGCGCAGGTGAAAGACCCCTAGCAACGGCGCTCCCGCCGGATTGGCTGGCTCGTGGAGATGCACTCTGCCGCCGTCAACATAGGCGACGGTTACAACGAGTTTCCGAAGCAATCGCGTAGCTTAGTGCTGATATGTCTGCCTCATACGTAGATGACTCCCGTTCAATCCACAGTGGTGCCTAACTTTTTTTTTCTATCGAACACTTTTGTTTGTCGCGGCATTTGGCGACATTTGCGACATCTCCTTTTTACGATTAACACTGAAAAAAAAAGTGAAAGCCGTTTACAACTCCCTGTAACGCCGAATTAGAGCGCAGCTCTTGAGGAGGAGGGAAGGGTACTGGGGGGGGGGGGTCAAGTGACCTTGGGTGGGGGTCACGTGGCCTAGGGGGGTCACGTGACGATGCCGATGACGTCATCAGTAACGATGACGATGCGGATACCGATGACGTCATCAGTGATGATGACAATGACGATGCGGATACCGATGACGTCACCAGTGGTGATGACGATGACGATGCGGATGCCGGTGACGTCATCAGTGACGTCACATGTGACGTCATCAGCGATGATGACGATGACGATGCTGATGCCGGTGACGTCATCAGTGACGTCACTGATGACGTCATCAGCGATGATGACAATGACGATGCAGATGCCGGTGATGTCATCAGTGATGATGACGATGACGATGCGGATGCCGGTGACGTCATCAGGGACGCCACTGATGACGTCATCAGTGATGATGACAATGACGATGCGGATGCCGGTGACGTCATCAGTGATGATGACGATGACGATGGGGATGCCGGTGACGTCATCAGTGACGTCACTGATGACGTCATTAGTGATGATGACGATGACGGTGCGGATGCCGATGACGTCATCAGTGACGTCACATGATGTCATCAGCGATGATAACGATGCGAATGCCGGTGACGTCACCAGTGATGATGACGATGACGATGCGGATGCCGGTGACGTCATCAGTGACGTCACTGATGACGTCATCAGTGACGATGACAATGACGATGCGGATGCCGGTGACGTTATCAGTGACGTCAGTGATGACGTCGTCGGGGGTCACGTGACCCCGGGGGTCACGTGACTTTGGGAGCCACGTGACTATGGGTGTCAAGTGACCTTGGGGAAGGGGTCACGTGACCTTGGGGTGACCTTGGGGTGACCTTGGGGTCACGTGACCTTGGGATGATCTTGGTTACGCCGACGGCGACGCCGACGGCGACGGCGACGCCGCTCAAGCCGGGAACGGGCCCCTAAGAGCTGCGCTCTAAAATGAAAGCTGTTTACAACTCCCTGTAACACCGAATTGGAGCGCAGCTCTTGAGGAGGAGGAGGGAAGGGTACAGAGGGCTACCTGTTCTCGGGACGGGTGGGGGGGAGGGTCATGTGACCTTGGGGGGTCACGTGACCCCCCCCCCAAAAAATTTTCGCTAGATTTAGCGGGGAATTTTTAGAGTGCAGCTCTTAGGGGCCCGTTCCCGGCTTGAGCGGCATCGGCGTCGCCGGCGTCGGCGTAACCAAGGTCATCCTAAGGTCACGTGACCCCTCCCAGGGTCATCTCAAGGTCACGTGACCCCCTGAAGGTCACGTGACCCCAAGGTCACGTGATCTTGGGGGTCACGTGGGGTCATGTTGGGATCACGTGACCCCAAAGGTCACGTGACCCCTCGAAGTCACGTGACCCCTCCCAATGTCATCTCAAGATCACGTGACCCCAACATGACCCCACGTGACCCTTTGAAGGTCACGTGACCCCCAAGTCACGTGACCCCTCTGAGGTCACGTGACCCCCGAGGTCATGTGACCCCCGAGGTCACGTGGTCTCCTCCCCAAGCTCACGTGACCCCCGAGGTCACGTGACCCCTGCCAAGGTCATCTCAAGGTCACGTGACCCCAAGGTGACCCCCACGTGACCCCCCCGGTCACGTGACCCCTCTGAGGTCATGTGACCCCCCCGAGGTCACGTGACGCCACCAGGTCACGTGACCCCCTGAGGTCACGTGGGGGTCACCTTGGGGGTCACGTGACCTTGTGGTGACCCCCATGTGACACCCAAGGTCACGTGACCCCCAGGTCACGCCTCCCCGAGGTCACGTGACCCCCCTCCCCGAAGTCACGTGACCCCCCCCCCCGCTCCCCCCGAGGTTACGTGACCCCCCCCCCCCGGAGCATATTAAAGAATGAGGGAAGGAGGAGGAGGAGGAGGGGTCTACCCTCCTTTCAGTACCCTTCCCTCCTCCTCCTCAAGAGCTGCGCTCCAATTCGGCGTTACAGGGATTTGTAAACGGCTTTCACTTTTTTCCGCTAGATTTAGCGGGAAAATGTTTCCGCGAGGTTTAACGGGAAAATTTTTCCGCTAGACTTAGTGGGAATTTTTTCCGCTAAATCTAGCGGGGAATTTTTTCCGGTAGATTTAGCGGGTTAGTTTTTCCGCTAGATTTAGCAGGGCATTTTTCCTGCTAGATTTAGCGGAGAACTTTTTCCACTACATTTAGCGGAGAAATTTTTTCGCTAGATTTAGCGGAGAAATTTTTCCGCTAGATTTAGCGGGAAAATTTTTCCGCTAAATTTAGCGGGGAATGTTTTCCGCTAAATCTAGCGGGAAAAATTTTTCCGCTAGATTTAGCGGGGAAATTTTTCCGGTAGTTTTGCGGGGAATATTTTCCGCTAGATATAGCGGGGAAATGTTTCCACTAGATTTAGCGGGGAATTTATTCCGCTAGATTTTTCCACTGGATTCAGCGGAGAAATTTTTCCGCTAGACTTAGCGGGGAAATTTTCCGCTGCATTTAGCGGGGAATTTTTCCCGCTAGATTTAGCAGGGAAATTTTTCCGCTAGATTTAGCGGGGAATTTTTTCCGCTAAATCTAGCGGGGAAAATTTTTACGCTAGACAGGGGAAACATTTTCCCGCTAAATCTAGCGGGGAAATTTTTTCGCTAAATTTAGCTGGGAAATTTACCCATAATGCACCGCGCGGTTACGCCGACGGCGACGGCGACGCCGACGCCGACGCCGCTCAAGCCGGAAACGGGCCCCTAAGAGCTGCGCTCTAAAATGCTGTCGACGAAACTTCGTTGAATTAAAAGGTATGGGACTCCCTTTCCGGAGGTGCAATGGAGGAGAGCAAGGCTTGGGTTCCCCGTGTGCGGAGGGCGAAGTGGGTTTATAGTTCTGTATTGAGCAGCCACAAAGTGCAGCTGCGAAGTGACGTGGAGACAAGCGGGGGGCTGGCTTAAGACACTCGCCAGTGACACACGTGCCGTCCGAATCCGAAATTCAACTTTCCGCGCGCTACTATGTGTGACCACGACAGCGTTTATCTCCACGAGCAGCCAATCCGGCGTGAGCGCCGTTGCTAGGAATTCTAACGCCTGCGCCGTAAAAACATGCGGGCGGGGCCGGGTCTGGTCTGTAGGTAGGCTTAGGCAGTGTTGCCACTTTGTGCTTTGCCAGAAACTTCCTTACGCATTGCGACGCGATTGTCGGTTCATTTGGCCAATTCGGCCCACACATTCTTCGGCTGTAAATCATCTGAAAATAATTGAATGGACGTTGGCTCTGTGTATATTTTTTTCTTGTAGTGATTTGTACATTTGAAGGTCAATCAAAATTCAAAATTTCTATTTTAGTTTTGCAACATTTTTTTTTTTATTTCGACTTGACGATTGACTTTCGGCATTTTCCCCTCCTCAACTTCCTACTTTCTTTCTTTAAACGTCTTCTGCCACTCGAAAACTCGTCTTTTTGACATGGAATCCTTTTTGTAGGTATCACGGAATGTGGCATGAGTCTCAGCAACGCAATTGCTCATTTTCACGCAAAAACTTGATCGCATACCGTTGTTCTATCATACCCCGCGTCGTTAATTCCCGACACACAACATAACAGCTGCTCACTCAGCACGCGATACGCACTGTGCAAGGGCTGAGATGTAACTGAGCCGGATCAAGTCGTATGCCCTAGAATCCACCTCCAGTGACCACGCATAGAGAGTCCACCATGCAGCCAGTCCCCTTTGCTAGCGAAAATCAGTCCCGATATTTTTTCAGGAAAACTTTGAATAACACCACATCAGTGCATTCTCACGTTCGCTGTAAGAGGGAAGGAACACGGTCTGAAGAGGTGGCAAGAGTGTGGAACCGCCCCCTCTCCCTTTAGCCTCCCTCTATCCTCCTATACGATAACTGACACGAACTTCCAGGTGGTTCATATTTAATATGAGCATGGACCTTCTTATAAGGTTGATAATTTACACACTCCTGTCGCGGCAGGTCAGCCTGCGCAAGGCAAAGCACTAAGGGTCTCTACACAGGCACTAGTGAGATCTAATCAAAGTT